CAGCGAACGTGTGGTCGTGCGTACGGATTCTACGACGTCTACCAAGTGCCAACTGTACGCTACAGTCAGTGTATTCGATACTCGCGACCAGTTAATGTGGTCAGTGCCCTCTGTACTACGAACTAGGAGTATCGCCTTTATTTTGTAGTTTGTCCCCGCGTTTTTGACACATTTTTTGACGCATTTGACACGAGGAAAACTGAAAAACTGTTTTGTGTCATCTTTCTTCGGAAACGGCAGTGTACTGCCGAGTTTTTGTGATATCATAATTGAGGAAATCGTTATTAGTATTAGTGGCCAGAAGCAAAGAAAGTGTGGTATTTATTTGTGTAAGATTTGTCCTGTCAGAATCCTGATTTTCGAAATGTCGATCGTCTGTGCGATAAGTTTTGTATGTACGTGTGAACTTCTCGTACTTTTGCTGAAGCAAAAGACGTCGTTGTCTCAGATGTTAAAGTCATGTTTTTCATCTTCTCGTTGATTATTCATGTAACTGCCTCACGAACCAATATCGTTTCACGGACATCATGGTTAATGGTGGTATTTTTTCGAAGCATTATAGGATTTTGTATTAGAAAAACTTGAAGGATTTTAGTTTGATTTACAATTACTTTGCCCTTTAGTCGTGATATTAAAATAATCCAATGTGTCATATCTTATCTATAACTGTAACTAAAGAAAACACGTAAACGATTCAAAGCAATTTATCTTTAGTAATCGTCTGTGTACATACATATCTAATTTCTAGATTTTGGATACACTCCAAATGAAACTGTCGAAGGATGACTCATGCGAGCAGACATTTTTTCTGGAAATAGTTATTCACGAACATCGGTTTCGCTGACTCAAACTAATAGAGCTACTTGTATACGAAGATCGTTGCTTAAAGAACAAAAATAGTACACTCGCGATTGAATCGGAAGTACTGCGCAAAAAATGAAACGTCTGTTTGTTGACATACTCTTGTTAGTGTGAGCCGACAGTTTGTTACGGCTGGGAACTGTGCATTGGCAAAATTACTTGTCTATATCAGGTGGCAGACAGCATAAGGCAAAAAAGTATTCATTGTACTTAACGCGTGCAAACAGCCATTGCCCTTTTGTCTCATGCTGTTCTCCACGTTCTGTTCTATTAATACTGCGCATCTGGTTTTGTAAATTTGACGTAAGTCATGGGTCGTGACAACTTTATCGAGTTATCAGTCCTATGAATGGAATATTTTAAATCCAGAATAACCTTTTGATCGTGCGTTATTTCCGCAAAAAATGTCTGTGTTAATATATCGAATAGGTCCCATCAAATTTGTCAAAAAAAGTCTAGGAATTTTCAAAACAAAGAAAACAAAGAAAATTTTCAAAACAAACTTTTAACTATCCTATAAAATGTTTGATATGTGTAACCTGTGTAGCGTAATTTCCAACATAAACATTCCACCAACTATATACATATTGGGTACATACAGGTTACTTTCGTCATATGTAAATAACCAAGCGATGTGATCTGAATCGTATTTTCATTTCATGGTATACCTACGTATATGTGATAATACGTATCCTGCGTTTCGCAATAGTTGTGAGACATGTGCTTTGTTTGTCACGAAAGCAGTGGCTTGTTTAAGGTTGACTGCTTTCTCGGGAATTTAAAATAAAAATCTCATTAAAAAATGCCGTTATCTTAAACCTAAACCGATAGAATTCCCTCTATATCTATATAATATCATTCGCTCATTTATTTCACTTCTCTGTTTCCACTTTCTGTTAAAATTTAGTTTAATCCTAAATTAAACTTTCGTTCGAAACATTACGTTTTCTTTAATCGCGCTGAATTATTCAGAACGAACTAGATGTTATATAAGCGTTGTCACTCGGGCTTGGTGTAATTAAGGTTAGAATCAATTTTGATCCGCAAGTTCCATTTCGTGCTACTCGTAAGAAGTAATATTTCGATTAGAGGACGAAAGTAACAATTATTTTAAAAATTAAAAAAGAAAATCATCGAGAGGAAGTTAATTTTTATTTAAATGGAAATCAGCTATCGTTAAATTTTGCAGAAATTTTTCGAGGAATAAAGTTGTAAAAAAAAATATTAAGATTCATCTGTCTTGGTTATGTACATACAGCCATCGATATTGATTACTCTTAACCTAGACAAACGAAACTTCTGTCACCGATAATAGTGAGTCGTGACTGAAAACAATTCCTCTTGTCAATAATGGTTATTCATAAAGAAAAACAATTTTCGTCATCGATAATGGTTACCAGTAACGTAAAAAATGTTGGTCCTATATAGTATTCACAATCAAAATCGTTCAGAGGCAGATATTAATTCTTACGCCATAACTTTAAAAATTTAGTTTATTAAAGTTATCGTTTATGGTTTCAATTACTTTGTTTATCAAGTTGACTATAAAAGCTGCAAATTACAAAAGGTGATTAAATTGGGTACACATTGTGAGAATGCTCTCGCATATAGCCTCCAGCTTGAAACAAAGAATTTCGTTTCAGAAAAGGAAATATTATAAACGTGTGTAAATTTGGTTTACGTCGTTTATGATTAAAGCAAAATCAAACAACGATTGTCACGCTGTCAAGGTTGCTGGCGTATTGGCGTCAGAGAACTGCAACGTGTTGAAAGATTCGGATTCCCAAAAATAGTACTCGAACTCTGAAGAACAACATACACTTTGATTTAACTTGACTTCAATATTGCATATGTAAACAAAAAGCTGTTGCAACTTCTGGTCGGACTTAGAAATAGACTCTGCATGTTTATGCAAATTTATGGTTTTATGAACATGAGAGGAAGAAATGAAACTTACTAGAGATTTGCCTCGCATATTATACAGGGTGATTGCTATTCATTTAAGTACAGGTACATGTTCATAAACTGTTCCTTCCAAACACGGAGGTGAAAAGCTAAATACGATATCGTTATCGATATAATACATGTCAACAATTGGTACAACTTTCGAGATACGTTCGACAAATGCAAGTAATATTTTCGTAGAAAAAACGTACAACATAAACACGAAATTATAATTCTATATCTAAATATGTACGTAAAATTACTATATAACGTAAACAGAAAATGAGATTACATATCGCCCTTTGATGTCAGCCGTGATTTACAACATTTTCTATTTATTGTATGTATTGTATATGTTTGTGGTAGATCTCAAACGAACAAACGTTTTCTTTTTTCAGTCGGCGCTTTCTCACCGGGAAATTCCAAAATTCCAGGAACTTTTTGATTAAACACATAACTCGCGAGCCGCAAGAGATCGAAAACAGACGAAAAGTTTTCAGACAAAAGCTACTTCTTTTAACGAGGTTTATCGTTTGGTAGAAAATTTATCAATGTTATAGCGAATTGTAACGCGAAATCGAAATCACTCGCCTTCGCCTCTTTAGAACGAATTTGGACAGCAAATCCTCTTTATAAGTGGTCGAAAATCGGGACTTCTCGGCGATCGATTAACGCGCAGGGATTTATTGTATTTGAGATTATCGTTTACTCTTCTTAAACTACTCGTAAATCGAATCTGCCTAATAGTAAAACCGTCAAACCAGTTACAGTGGCCGGTGCCAGATTCTTTGTTTTTGCAAATACCGAGAGATGTAAATATTTTTAGCAATATTAACGTTTACCTTTATTCAGATAGAAACACGGTTACACATACTCGTTTATTTTTGTCATGTTGCTTCAGCTCCAACTAATTACGTGCAATATATTTAGGTACACATTAACCAGTTAACTGTTGCGACTTCTTTGAAAAGCGTGTACTTAAAATGTATACTCGTCAGAACCAGCTAACTGGTTAAAGGTCGACAGTTCCAGTATCACGATTATCGTTTTCTTTTGCAATTACTCAGTCAGCAAACGAACGTTCGGATCTTCTATCGGGTTGGCAACTAAGTGATTGCGGATTTCGTCAATACCACCTAATGACAAAATCTGCGTCCACTTAGTTGCCCAAGTCTAATATGTCTGATACGACATATACATATTCGATTACTTTTTTTTACTAATTGATATCGAGTTCTATTTGCAAGTAAACAAGCTGCAACTATCGTAGACGATCGACAGATTCGAGTAGAAATTGGGGAAATCATGTTCGATATTAGAATTCTGGCAAATCTTTCTAGACGAGCAGAAGAAAACTGCACGATGGTGCTGGGTAGCGAAACTGACTACTTGTCTGGATATAAGCGAAATTCTATTACGGAATGGTTGCAAAAAACGGGGCAGGCGGGGAACGATGGTAATTTTCTCGATGCAACGTGTATGTTTGCTGCGTTTACGTTAAATAATTGGCGGTTACAGTGAAAGCGTTTTCTAGTTCACAGCAACGAACTACGCACTTACTTGAAACTTACTTAGCAATTTGCATTAGACATACACAGAAGCGTACAATCTTGTTAACCAAGTAGTACCGCTAAACCAGCGGTTCTTAGTCTCTCGGTAATCACGTTTATTCTAAATAATTTCCTGTTGTCGCGTATATATAGTAATGTTTCCACTTGATTCAAGCTTCGAATCCGTAACAGGCCTGAAATATTTAAAACGTTCGTCAATCGCTCATCAACGATCTTCAAATTTGCAGAGGAGATATTCGGTCTAAATAAATAAAGATAAATGCACATACACCTGGAACATTTTTTAGGTACGCGTACTCCTTAGCCAGTTAACTGCGGAGTTTAGTTTTAAAAATCTCTTATGGGGTGTGTAATTAGCGCGATAAGTAAATAAAACGACGAGTAAGCGCGTCGAACGCAGTTAACTGGTTAAATATTTTTTACTCGAGTAGTAAAATAACAAGTTGCGCGTGAGCGTCGCACCGTGAAGAGTTTGCGACCATTTGGGGTCCACGGACCAGAGATTAAGAACCGCTGTACTCGACTAAACTCGTTTTAAGGCATTTTGCATCCGCTTTCGAGGTATAATAATACGTTTAGTGTAAACGTTTTCCTATTAAAAAGGGACCATGCTTTTCATTACAGGAAGCGAAAGTCCGGTGTTTGGTCTGGAAGGTGGCGGAACAGGTGCAGGTGGTGGAACCTCCTTAAGACTTGTACCGCACGAATTGCCCAATGAAATTTCTGCCCCCTATGAGGTGCCACAATTTCCAATCGAACAAATCGAGAAGAAGCTTCTCATACAGAGGCAATTAACCGTCAAGTAAGTAACGCGTTCGTACTTTTCTTCTAAAAAATGAACCTTGATTCACGCTGGTGATCATGGTACGACCGGATGACGTCTAATCAGACATCGATAAAACTTGTTTATACGTGACGCAATGAGAGCAGCCACGGTATAGTCCAGCCGAATTTGATCTGAAATACGCCAGTTCATAAATTGTACGAATCATACGTGGAAAATTTGGAAGTACGATCGCCTACTGGTCTTCTTAGTACTTCGGTTACTGTACTGGAAAGTTCTGTCGGTTTTTGTATTCTTCCACTCGCGATAGCGATAAAATGTATTTAGGATGAGTCTTATTCTGATTCAATTTATTCGAGCTTATCCAGACGTTATTACGAATTATCTTACAGGTTACGTAAAACGATGTTCTTCGTTTATCTTTTATGATACTGTAAATTAAATTAAAGAATTGTAAGAGCATGTTCAAATATGTACGTGTAATCTTTACTTATCCAATTAGTCCACTTAAACATGTCACAATAACTCTATAGATTCGATGTAGAGATGTTTATTTATCGATATAGATTTCATTATCGGTACTGATAATTCTTCAACCATGTTCTATATATATATATCTGACTAATACCTTAAGGTTTTCTATATTACCTAGGTCAAAAGTAATTACCTGAAAACTTTTTTCTTATGTTTGAGCAGTTTTCACTGCAATTTTATAAAAATGGTAATTATTCTTGTAAATGTTTGAAAACTGATGATATTACGAGTTTGTTGAACAGTTTGATAAATCGATTTCCTTGCTCCAGAATTCATGAAAATTCAACGTTGGAACGAGGTCATTCTTTAACCCGTTGCAGTAGTTATGTGTAGTCGCGATACAGCCCTTTCCAAAGCGTTACTGAGAATAGCGAGAGAAAAGCATAACGAAGACGATTTTAAACGGCCTTAAGCTACAGCGTACTCGTATTCTCCAAAAAATTTAAGCTACCCTTATATCATGACATTAACCAAAAATTCTAACAACGTAACTCCAAAATTATTGTTATAAATTATTATATTATAGTTACACGTACATTATATAACATTGTATAGGACACGATACTTGCTAGAAAATACTACTTATTAGAATAACATTTATTATAAGACATACTTGAAGTAATTTTAAAAACTACAAAATGAAATATGACTTACAATTACTCCAATAGTCGTAGTAAACATTCATAAAATTGCTGGAACGTACTACACGTTACGATCATTACTAATAAGTACAATTAGCCATATACTACATTAAGAATATAAGTATTATACTTTTGATACGCACTTGAATTAAGATAAATAATATATTCAACTATGCTTTTAAGATTACGTTTAATTCTTCAGTTTAGGAATTTTTTTCATTTTCCAATTTGTAATCTTTTATTCGCTGCTGAGAGGAAATTTGCCTTTTCCATCGTGTAAAAAAGCCTGTAATCTTTTCCTGCCCTAGTCGTTCATTCTAGAGGTCATTTCGTGCTTTTAAAATAGAACACCGGTACATTTCCTTCAGGACATTCTATTAATGTTGAAAATTGCACTTTTATGCGATCCACTTGCGAGTCTCGTGTTGTCTTAAAAAGACGTAAATTTCATTGCAATGCGTTTTTATAGGCGGTCAGAATTTATGATCTCTTTTTAACTGCCGTCTATAATTGGGATTATCTACGAAGGTGCATGTACCTAATTCAATTCTATTCTTGGCTATTACTCTTGTTAGTTCCATACCATGCCTCTTGATGCGAGTGCTGAAGCTTCTGAAAATAAATTTTCAGTTGCGCTCGATTTCTATTACATTTGCTTGCTTAGGCCAGGTGGAAAAAAATAGCCGCCTAACGGAAGGTCAACGAGTACCTTCATATAATATTTCATTTTTATCATTCTAAGATTTGTGCAGTAAGCTAAATCTTGGAATAAAATTTCTACTAGAAAGTATGATTTTACGACTCGACTAATTTTTTCACATAATTTGCCGTTAACATATTCTCGGTACAAGCACTATTACGTTTGCGATTAAAATGAGCACTGGTAAAATTATCTCACACGATAGATCTTAGTTCTTATGCAGTGAAGTAGCGATCAATACTGCAACGTAGATCTATCTGGTTTACTGTTTAATCTGCTGTGGTTGCCATTGTAGCTGGTGTATTTTGTGTAATGTATAAGACGTGACTCTAACTAATGTCATGTATTATATATTATTTATATTAGATTCAAGCGCAGTACTTGCTGGTCAAGGAAATCGTTGTTTTCCTTATCCAGTAGCGTTTACCATAAAAACGCGGCAAAAGATCAGACGACGCACAAGGAACATTGTCCGAATACTCGGAAGCGATTACGTGACGCAGTGAGACGGAAACGGTCTGAGTTTTGGAAAAGCGATGACTGAATCTGTTTCGTGCTTCGCTACGACAACTGGCTCATTCATCGCACCTTATCTAGCAGTTTCTGGCGAAACACGACGTCGTGCAATTTCGTCAGCCTGCAATCCTTCAAAAAAGAACAGAATTTGAAAAGGTAATGGATATAAAATGAAACGCGACGAATTCTCTGTACTTTCTACTGGTAGAGTGCTATGAATGAACTTGAAAAATTCAGCGCCCATTCGAAATTCATCTCTTTGATCTTTTGCCACTGCCAATCTTATATCGTCAGGAATGGTGAACATTTTGTAATGGACTTGCAGTTGGAGTCGTAGAATCGTGGCTACCGACTACCATCAGGTGTAATTGTTCTTGATCCATTCATACTCTGTACTAGTATACGTATAGTATACGTAGTAACGCATATTCGTTATCGGTCATTTCCTATATCGTTCTTTTGTCATAACTCCTTGACGATGCTCCCAATAACACGCATACGTTTATACGACACTTTTTCTTTATCTCGGTGCCTACAGAATGCAACGACAACGTTTGGCCGAGACAAAACCGGGGTAAACAAATACAGGATATAACTTTCTGTGACAGAATATAATCGGAATACAAGTTAGCAGATTAAAGTATCCGCGATGGTTATGTTCTCTGCGAGGATCACAGCTACGCATAGCGGAACATCATGGCGCGATGAAATTGATTTTCAAGAGCTGCCTTGTGGCGATACAATTGCGTCGTCTGTTACCTTCGGGTTAATTCCTAAACGATTAAACGAAAGCTTCTTTATAACGATAATAGAGGTACCGCGATTAATTGAAGCAGCGACAACCTATAGGAGCTACATCAAACGAACTACGTCTTCGCAATATGGACAATGTGGTTGCTTGGTTGACAATGAACGAGTGGCGCGATTCGGTGTGGCGCGACGATGATGGCGTGGCAGTGGCATAGACGTAGGGAAGGGGTTAGGTTGGGGTTAGGTTCGCGAGCAGCCTTCATGGCCGGCCTTTTAGTAGTCGTAAGACCATCGTGGTGGTAGGAAGTGCGCGGCGGTATGATCTGCGTGCAACGTAGATCGTTTCCGGTACTCTACCAAGAAATATCAGACTCGTGTTGGACGACCGCATGATCCCCGGTCGGCTTTACGATAGTCTTTCATGACCTCGGCACGAGAATTTCCGAGGCTAGGCTATGTGAGTTAACGTATCGATTGACAGAAATTTTACATTCGCGGACTCTCGCCGCGTTTACTTTGCCGTGACACTTTCGAATTACGCGTTACCGTTGTATCGATGAATAACGGAAAGGGAACGGAAATAAGACCGAGCCGCCGTCTCTTCCTGGTTAGACGTTCGCGTTCGCTTAGTTTCCCGTCCTGTGCAACGATAAACTGTCGAGCGAATCCTCAACGACATTTTGACACTTAAACACAGTGGCTCGTGAAAGCGTTCCAAAACTTACCACAGAATTCTTATTTACGGGAATATCGTGTACGTTATGCGTGTACGAAACTTTTCGATATTTCGTTGGCACCGTAGACGAGTAGACTGTGAATTTTCACGGAAACCCGTGTTCTTAAGGATATAGCTGAGAAAACAGAATCTCCAGAAATTGAGAAATTGATTTAACTACCACGTATCATAGAAAGCGCTGTACTTTGGATGTTTTCTTATGGTTCCTCATATTACGCGTGATTTGTGCAATTTTGTATTTTCAAATGAACGATCTTTGCATAAAGATGCGCGGTCTAATAACGAGACACGACTGTCGTGGTTACGATAGTAAGATTTGAAAGCAGTCCGGAAATGTATGTAGAGAAGTTGGAAAATATTTATTGCAGACATACACTTGTTAACGAAACATTACTATGCAGGATGAATAAGTAGTTTTAGGCATGCCATTGGCGCAAGAGACAATTTCGCTACATACATTTGTGACTTATTCGCTTCCACTACGTATCTTCTAACTTGTGCATACATTTTTAGATTTATTTATCACATTTATATACATAGACATTTATTATAAACATACAGTTAATGAAAAATTAATGCGATCAGTGCCAAAGATAATCTCGCTACATATTGTGTATTATTCATACAACGAACAATTCACTGTTCAAATGCTTTGTTCAAATACACTAACTTTTACGAAATCCGTAAAATATCTTCTAATTTTTACATACATTTTCAGATTCGTTTCAAATATTACCAATGTAATCACGACGGTCGTGTCCCGTTCCAGAGCCAATGAAGTCTCAAAACGTTTCGTATAATACGAGCTGTCTAACGCGAAAGTAGCGTAAGTCAGTTTTCTAGCTATTTGGTTTAACGCCGCATCTCCGAAGTTTAACCTTGATTCTGTTTCGTGCAGATGTGCTATCTTCAGACATAACTGTACAGTGACTTACATAAAACAGGTGTAACGTTCTTTAATATTATTGTACGTTACAGGATTCCGACTTCGCTCCTCGTTAATCAGTGATCGGCATTTTTCTGTTTACGTCGCTCTTGCGTTAACCGACTCGTATATGCATAAACAGTTCCTAGGAGCGTGCGAATATTTTCGTGAGCCACGTATACGTACATAGAGCACATATGCAGACGCATGATTCGA